CTCTTTCGGGGCCATACGGTATGGTGGGATAGATATAGGCTGGGTACCTGGAGCCAATTCAATACAAAAATTGATATCACGATCCGGTGGCATGCCTGGAAGGTCAGAAGGAAACACATCGGAGAACTCCCGGACTACTAGTTCTGAATCAATCGCCGGAGCCTATGCGGTAGTATCCCGAACATAAGCTAGATAAGCCAAACAACCCTTCTCGACCATATATAGATCCTTCAGAAAGGAGATAACCCGACTAGATGTACTAACAGACGAACCCTTCCACTACAATCTAGTCAACTCTAGCATCGCTAAGGTAACAGTCTTAGCATGGCAATCAAGGATGGCGTGATATGGGGATAGCCAGTCCATGCCCAGTATGACCTCAAAGTCGGTCATACAAAGCAACAAAAGATCCGCTCCGGTCTCATAACCATAAAATATGTGACCACACAGGACTGATAGATCCGATCCACAACAACGAAATCGCCCACAGGAGTGGACACATAAACAGGAGTACCCAAGGACTCACGAAGAACATCCAGGAAATGAGCAAACAGAGATGACACATATGAATAGGTAGAACATGGATCAAATAATACCAAAGCATCCTTACCGCAGACAGAAATAATACCTGTGATCAAGGCATTTGAGGCTACTGCATCTGGTCAAGCCGAAAAAACATAGAACCTAGCTGGAGCACCGACCGGCTGGCCTCCGCCTGATTGAACAGTAGCTGCTTGACCTCCCCCTACCTGGCCTCCACCTCTAGGATGGCCCCTACCTGCCTACCCTCTACCTCTGGGCGGTCGGAAGGCTGGTGCTGTAATCATGGGTTGATGGCCCTGCTGTTGTCACGCCCCAAAATTCGAGGAGCGCGACCGGCGCTCAATCGGGTGAACCCGACGGAGAAAGCCTTACCGAGCACTTTCTACCCCAAATCAATATGGATACGGGACTCATGCCTTTGATTAATTTAGATGATAACACACGGTGTACACCACTTACTGGTTCACTTCATATCATAAAAATTTACCGTACATAAGCTAGCTTCAAGGATTCTATTAGGGTTATATCTTAAGGAGATTACAAGGTTAGGATTACAACATATACATACAGCGGATTCCCCGGGCACCCGTACATAACCCACACTAGTGTCTTTGGAGCCTCTAAGGATACAACAGATAAGCATGACTAGGCCAGCAACAAGGCCCCGGCTATACCTCAAAAGTGAAAGCTGTAATAACAAAAGATACACCATATGGCCCCATGGAAGAAAAGGGGCTCACCGAGACTTTGAGTAGAAGAAACGCTCTGCTACACACGGTCGGCACCGTCCACTATGGAGCCACCTGCAATCATAACACGAATGTAGCGCCCCCGGCAACAGGGACGTCAGTACATTTGAATTGTACTGGTATGTATAACTAAACACCATTTTACTAGAAAGAACTACCAAACAGATACAAGCAAATAATATGGGCAAGTCAAAGAAGCAATTCATATAATCTTTCATACAATTTCCACAACATTGATTAGGGCATTTCTGTCACGTGTTCACCACTGTTCTCATTACCACCGCTATCCCAAGCGGAGTCCGATCACAACCCGACCGGCTAGCTCACCTCATTGGAGGCATTACTCTCAATAAATATTTCATTTCCTTTATCCGGAATCCAATATCAGCACATTACCACCATGTGTGCAGCATGGTGTCCGATCACGACCCGATCGGCTAGGTCACCTCGTTAGAGGCATTTCTCCATTCTCATTAGCCAACACTTCAAATCTTTATTCCACATATAACATAACAATTCCTGGGGCACTCATGGCCACCATCATCACATCGTTTCCCTTTTTTTTTTTGATATTCATTTTACAAGTTGTGAACATATACACATATATTGAGGATACCTCAAATTGCAATCACAGGTAAATGAGCACATAGCTAGCATGAATAATTCTTTGTTCCAATGTTGGCTTGTAGCCCAAGTATTTCCACACATAACTGTACTTTCCATCATTATCAAATTGTCAAGATTGGCACATTATTCACGTCGGGGCACATCCTTCACGAATATGTACAGAAAATTGCATATCAATTAATGCGTAATAACAAGCAATATGCTAACCAATTCAACTCTTACCATGCTTTCATAAATGACAACGGAGCTCAATTTCTAATAAAAAGGGGTTTTAGCCATACATACCTGGGGTTGAGTCCCTTTTTAATTTCTACTTCCAATTCACCAAATAATCTAGCAACATCCATATATTGCACAAATTAATACGCATAACTTAAAATTCAAGCTTCACAACCACTACCCGAACATATCTAGGTTACTAGCCCGTTCTTTGCGCTAGTCTTTGCTCTCACCCAATTACTCCCACTAGGTTCTAGGTTTTAGTAGACATGCATGCACAATTTTAACCACTATTTTCAAGAACCAATGCATGAGACTTCCTCCCCTTAGATTAAACCAGAATTTAAATGAAAATGGTTAGGGATTTTACCTGCAAGAATGAGGATGAAGATAATTGCTTTGAAATTTCCCCGCCCGGATAGTTTTCAAGGATCAAATTTGAAGAAGGTGGCTTTCTCTCTCAAGAACCCTCTCTCCCTCTCTCTTGTTTGTTCAGAATTGTTAAAAATGAGGGGGTTGGGGTGTTTTATTAAAAAGGGGTCGGGGTTAAAATTTAGAAAAGAAAAGAAAAAGAAAAAAAAGAAGTCGAGCAAGATCTGCGGTCGCATTCTGCGATCGCAGAGTTGAAATGCGGTCCGCAGATTGGACCGCAGAATTGCCTCCAAAACTCTGAGGATTCTGTTTGGGTCTGCGACAGGAATGCGGTCCGCAATCATGTTCTGCGGTCGCATAGTGCACCGTAGTACTGACATTCACAAAATTCAAAGGAGAATATGCGACGACTATGCGGTCCTCATATTTGTTATGCGATCACATAATAGACCGCATTTTCAACATTAATTTTGACAACTCTACTGTTCCACTCTGCGGTAGAAATGCGGTCCGCATATCAATTATGCGGTCGCATTTTGGACCGCATCTTGACCTCAAGTTTTAACCAAACCACTGTTTCGTTATGCAGTGGTAATGCGGTCCGCATATTGGATCTGCGACCGCATTCTGGGCCGCATAATGGCATTTTTCAGGAAAATTGATTCTTTTGATTTTTAAAAGCTTAGATCAATACCAAGGGTCCGAACCGCGGCGAGCAGGCTCGCCGCGAAGAATTCTACACATTCCTAACACGTGTTCGGAGCCGACACCACAAGATTCTTGTTTATGAGCCAAAAATTTTACGGGGCCTCACATCTTCCCCCACTTAAAATCATTCGTCCCCGAATGAGGACCTGTTTCAAGCTTTTCAGTATATTCAAAGATCATTTGGTTTTGAAAACATGTTATGCAGATTCCTACACCTTTCACTATTTCCCAAATTTTTTAGAAAAATTTGCCAGAGTTTCCTTTGTAATTAGAACATCTCCACCTAACAGAGGGCCCCGGAAACACAATTCTAAGCACCAATACACAATTTCAACTACCCTTACAGCTAGTATACAAATCCTTACCTTAACAAATGCACACATTTGATCACTCGATATGCTTTGCTTATGAATCAGTTATTTCAATGAGTTTCACATAATTTAGCCATTTCAACACACTACAAGCATACAAGTAATTCATTACCAACTTATACCACCATTAATTGATTACTTATCACAAGAGTCTTTAAAAAAAAAGCTTTCATTTACCAAAGAAATGTTCACATGACTTGAAACAATCCCTACATCTATAAGTCTTGCACAACTAGAGGAACTTCACTAGCACTTAGGAAAGAATCAACTTGGACACAATGGTAATTGTTTTAGAGATAGGAAGGTCACATAATTTCTTCTAGACTTGATCGAATAGATAGGGATATTTCTTTCATTTCTTTCTACGCTTCCCACGTAGCTTCCTCGACTTGTTGACTTCGCCACAACTCCTTAACCGAGGCAACTTCCTTATTTCTCAACCTACGGGCTTGTCTATCAAGAATGGCAACCGGAACCTCTTCATACGATAGCTCTTCATTAACCTTGATAGTCTCGTCTGGCACGATGGTGGACGGATCTCCAACCACACTACAACAAATTTGATTATTAATGATGAATTATTTTGTCACCTATGATTCACTTTTCGTCACCAAAGATTTTTTGTGACGAAATCCTTTTTGTCAATCTTTCGTCTCTAGAACACCGTCACTAATAACATATAAAGGCAACTTTGTATTTCGTCGCCAAATAATAAAGTACTAAATACGAAATTCTTTTTCGTCCCCAAACACGTAATATTTATGACGGATTTATTTGTCATAAAAAGTACAAAAAAATTATACTTAATAGTATGATTTCGTCACTAAAAAGTGCATTAATGTCGACAAAACTGCCTCGTCTCTAAAAATTTAGTTTAATTAGTGACGACGTCAAATGTCTCTAAAGCTACGTATGTTTCGTAGTTGAAAAACCGTAATTTTGTCACTAAAGACTACCTTTTATCAACAAAAAAGTATTTCGTCCCTAAATATATAATTAGTGACAATTATAATTTTGTAGTTAAAACTACCCTCTCGTCGCTAAAAAGAATATTTTTATCGACAAAACAAAGTTGTCACTATAAGTTATCATAATTAGTGACAATTACAATTGTCAAAAAATACAAAATTGATTCGTAGTCAATAAAAAGATAATTTTGGGACATAAATTATTTTGTCACTAAATATAGCGAATTTATGACCAACTTAATTTGTTTGGTGACAAAAATGTGATATTCCTGAAAACTATACAAAAGTGAACTTTTTTGTCACTAATAACAAATGTTTGATGACGTTTATATTCATATTTGTTTTAGATTGACGTCATACGAATTTGAAATAACATAATAAAACAATCAAGGTAATAACATAAAAATAAAAACAATCAAAGGTAATAACAAAAATATTCACCATTGATCATAAAACTAATATTAAAACTATATTGAAATAAAAGCTCCTTAAATTAAAATAAACATAGTTAAAGTAAATATGTCCAACATAAAAGCCTAACTAAGAAATATTACTCCTAAACTAGGACTAAGAAGTGGAGGAATGCAGTGACACTTCACTTGCAATTAGTCTTGATCCAATAGTTAACTTCATATACCTGTATAAAAGATGGAGAAAAAATTACTTTAAGTTAACACTTTACGGTATCAAGGTATAAATAAAATATAATTGGTATAAACTACAACTTCTTGTTAGACGTAGAGTTTAATTGGTAAAACAAATAATTGAATTGTGCTACAAATAAATAAAAATGAGAAAAAAAATTAATAGTGTGAAGTATAGTGTACCCAAAGGTGATAGTCTGGTGGGGCTCAATCTTCGCTGTATCATTAAAAAAAACATTCGAACTTAGATACTAAAAGAATTATAATTGAATTTATCATTTAAAGATGTAGTACTTCTAACCTTGATGGTGATGAGCCAATAAAATGACACTTCATTTGGTTTAATATTTCCTCTTGGCATGCCCTTAAAGTACCCAACTCAGAAGTTAATGTTTGATCTGTATTCGCTGATTTGTTACCTCAGTTTCAGCTAAATTCAAACGTTCTTGTAAACCATGTTGGGCAGTAGCAGCATCCTCTTTTGCCCTTCTAAGAGCATCCTCTAATTCTGCTGTCCTTCTTTTTGTTGCTGTAGTTGTACTAGGCTTTGGACCATAGCCAAGGCCTTTAATATATCCCGACCTTGTACCAAGTACATTATCAACAATTTCATCAATAGTCATTGGATTCTCTTCAGAAATAGACCAAGCTCTCAAATCTCTCATTTTGTTCTACATAAAAATATTACATCAGTTAAAATAATTATAAGATAGAATGAATACATGTGACATGTTACTAAAATATTACTTACGTAGTTAGTCTCAGCCTCCGGAGATGACCATCCTTTTTCACTCGAGTAATGGGTGCTTTTGTAGAACTCAATCCTATTTGGCTCTACTCCTTCATGTTCCTTCACACCCTACACAATATGACAATAATATGAAATATTACTAAAATATCATCTTAGTAACGAATGTGGAGGGTGATTGAACCTCAACCACATTGACATGATTAGATTATAGGTTCAACAAAAGGTAATGAATGTATGTGGACCAAAACTTTTTACCTATACCAACTCCTGTCAAGGCAGCCATTTTTGAGAGTTTTGTGAGACAGAACATTGCAGAGTCAGAAATTGATGTGACAAGCAACATTAGACAGCTAATGGAGAGTAGTTATGGCTTCCCAACTAACAACAAGACAGAATTTTTATATGATGACTGCCCTTTTATACAAAAATAAACTCAGAGAAAGGAAACAAATAAAGGTTTTATATCAGAAAGCTCAATACATTTTAAGAGCCTTAAAATACTATTTTGTAGTTGTTGTAGAATACATGACGCAAACATAGGAATTGGTTTTCCTTGTTATTAAGGTCCTAGATGTGATACTAATATTTGATAATTAAAAGTTTAACTAAAGCATGCTGACAAAGATTTAAAGAAAAGTAAAGAGATACGAAAGAACACAAAGTTGCA